ATGCGGAACACTTGTGCAAAATGCACTATTAGGTTTGTTTTGCACGGATAGCTTTGCAAGAAAATCAGCTGAGCAAAACCACCTTTCCAGCTCATTTCTAGCATGTTTCCTAACACTGCAGCTTCTGGTTCCAGTTCTAACTCTGAAGGTGCCTAACAGGCTAAGCTGACTAGTTTTGCTTTAGGGTAATGTTGCAAGGTCATATAGAGGACATGCCTGGCATGCATTATCTCACCCCACCAGAACGGGCAGTGGAGATCATTCCACGCAGATGCAGAGAAAGAACAAGGAAAGTTGAATGGTGCAGCTTCCCATCTTGGGAACCAAGCCTGACTCCTTGGTCTAAATTCTTGGACCTGATGGCCCTCTGGTCCCTTCCAACTCTACTACTCTATGATTCTGTGAGTAAGACCATTTGTCCATCTAACCCTGTATACTTCAGCTGGCTGTCCCCCTGACACTTCAGACTGCAACTACAGCTTTCGGACCATTGCCTGTTCAGGCTGGGGCTGATGGGACTTGAGGTCTAAAACATGTGACAGGTGTCAAATTGGGGAAGGCTGGGCTAAATGGACATTGGTTTTTGTTGGAATTTGTTCAGGATTTGCTTGGTTTTCAAACTTAGAGAGATCTCTGGTTTCGTATATTATACTTTCCAGCCCTCCCTAGAGATGCTGGAGGTTTTCTACATGCCACGTGTGAACTTGATCACTTTGTGCTTTCCTCTTGTGCCACATCCGGCTTATTAGGCTTAACCTCAGAACAGGGTTCCATGAGACTCTCATTTTTGTTCACCGAACGCACAAACATACCCAATTGGAAGTTGTGAGCGCATGCACGTGTCCACTAAAAATATTTGAAAATGACTGGATATGAACTTTTGATGTGATTTGCACAACTACCCCAGTACAGTCTGTGCAGATGACTCCATTAGGCTGCACCAACCCTGCTCTAGTCTGCAGACAAAAGTTGTACAATTAGGAAACCTACACAAATTTCACATTTGGTTGGAGTTCCATGTGCACAACTTTCCCATTCTCTCAGAGCCATAAATGGAAATGGGAATGGGATACAAGATGACCTCCAAAAAGATGTTCAGGGAATCCTAGCAATCCTAAACACGGCCAGTTCACCAACCCCTACAACAGAAAGTTTCTTCAGATGGACAGAAATTGGGTAAATAATGAGCTCTGTGGGAGTTTTGTTTTTATTGTAAGCTGGCAGCTCAAGTAAAAGCTTTAAATATCTTTTTGAAACAAAAGCCTGAGTCGACTTGAACGGTGTCGTAGCACAAGTGCAGAATACAGCGTTGAAGCTGCATTATTCATTGCCACCAGCAATCCTCTGAGATTACAGGTTTTTTGCGAAAATGTAGCCACTTTAATAGCAGAAGGGTTGCCAGTAAATGGTGTACATTATAGCAGACACAATGCAAAGCGAACATATGGAGAGGCCTTGGGTCAGATAGCCCAGGATCCATTCATTCATTTATAACAAATAGGTATTTATCTTCCAGCTCTCAAAAGGGCCCCTAAGGTAGTTTTCAAGTCCAAAGAGACATTTTAATACCCCAGAAGCTAAAATAATAATAATCCTTTTCCCCTTTAAATAAGCTATATTGTAAAGGGCAAGAGTGCTCCCAGGGCAAATTCTATCAAAGAGTTAAAATCAAATACTTCGAAAATAAAATAAGACAACTATTGAAAAGATTATCCTAAAAACATACAATCGTAGCATGAACCAAAGCCATAAAAATCCAAGCCTGCCAGTATAAAATTATTTAAAGCTACAGCACCACAAGTCAGTAACAAAAACATTTAAATCTGCAAAATCAATAGGATTGTGGAATTATATAGAAAATAAATCAAAAAAAATGAAAATGAATAAGGGTTGGATGCAAGCCTAGCAGGATACCTACTTGTCCAATGGGACTTATGCCATGGGATTTCTATGTTTTCTTCCACACTGCTGTCCTCCATATACACCCTAAATATCTTCTGAAGGGTCCCCCTACCCTCTGGATCTAGGGATGTGGAGACAGCCTGGCTTCCTTGTTTCCTCACAAAGGTTGTGTGCATACGTATGAATGGCTGTAAAATGAGTCCCACTAAAAATCCGAGTATTTTCTGAAGAGTCCCCCCCAGCTCTGCAAAGCAGAGTTACCCCTACAGGGTTGGAGGTCCCTTCAGAAAATATTTGGGGTGTGTGGGGCTGCACTGAGGAAGGTAATGAGGAAACCCTGCTACAGAAGCAGAAGTCCTGTTGGGCAACCAACCCACCATCTTTATTTTCTTCTCATGGGTTTGTGTATGTGAATCACTCTACAATTATGCCCTTAACAACCCTGGGAAGAAGGTTACGGCCATGGCTGCCCCTAAGTCTCCCAGAGAGCTTCATGCCTGAGTAGGGACTAGAACCCAGGTCCCTTCAGTCCAACACTTTCAACACCTCACCGCACTGGTTCTCAGCTAGGGCTGATATGCTCTGAGAGCAGGGAGGAGAGAAACTGGTTGTGTCACGAGGGAAGTAGCTAATTGGAGTAAAAGGCCAGACACAACTCCTGCTCTTTGCCTTATGCTCTTCATCAAGGCTGGCTTGGAGGAAACCTTTGGCAAAGCATCTTCTCTTGGGCTTCTCCTACAGTGGACCCTAGTCTGCAGGTGGTAGCAGTGACCAGACACAAGTATAATTCCCCACAATGACCGAGAGCAATATTTTGCCGGAGCATTATGGGAAATTAAAATGGCTGTCTGTCTGTGCCACCACTTCGGGCGTAGTCTCCCCAAATTGAGTGTCTTTCCTAGGTGGGCTGCAGTAGCTACCTGAGACACCATCTAATTTTAGAAATGTACAGCATTATGGATTCTTTAAACTTTGAAGTCAGCCTAGGGCCTCCCATTCAGGCTGAGATCCTATCATGTGGGTAACAATCCTTTAATTTCTGGGCTAGGGTCCCTGTACCTATCCTAGAGTAAAAGTTGTTGGTGGTAAAGAAGCCACTGCTTGACTGATTTGCAAACTCATCTCTATGTTGGCACCAAGACTGCTCCTATGGGGTTGCACCCTTGACCAACTGGCTCATCGCTGGGATCATTAATGGACAGGAAGGTTTGGTGAGCCCAGCTGATGTCTGAACTGCAGCATGGACCATTTGGGGGACCAACAGGCACATGGTAGGCATGTCATGAGTGAAGCTGGCTGGATCCAGGGGTCAGACTAGATGGCCTGGGAGACCCCTTCTCACGCACCCAGTTTCTATGTTTCTGTTTCGAAGGAATGGGGACCAGGTTGCCTCACTGCATTCCTTGGAAACGTGTTTTCTGCAAAGGAGAGTGTGGCCATGTGTCTTGTTTTATAAAAGACCACCTTGTATCTAGCTTAAAGATAAAGGACTAGATAAGGAATGAAGAGCAAGAGTGCTGAGCTTGTCTATCAGCCATACCTGGACACCAAACTGAGCAGGCACTCAGGTGGCAGTTTTCAGCAATACAATGAGTATTTCTGTTTAAATTACGTATTTCTGCACCTGCATTCATTCCTATGCATTATCACATACAAATCATGTCTGCTTTTATCCTGTTTTGTTACACATCACATTTTCTGTGATGTGTAAGTGGCCACCTTCATTTGGGAGACTTTTGTCATGGGTCACCTTGTTTTCATCTCCAAGAGAAAGGCAGTGCAATGGTCTGACTGACCTCCTTGATAGATAATGTTAAGGACATCTAAGGCTAGCAGAGGCAAGGGTTGTTGTTGTTGTTGTTGTTGTTGTTGTTGTTTTTAATGGCCTCCTGCCTCCAATTTCCTGGACATGACACTGTTTTTTCAGGCTGGCCTGCTGTTGAGAGAGCACAGGCCTAAGCCTTGCATGACTATGACACAGGAGTTTGCAATACAAACAGGTTGGCATATTGTCTCTATATCCACATGGCAAAAGGCCCAGTTTTCAGTCACAGTCTCTGACTGGAGACGCAATGCCCCTCGGTTATTAAATGACACACTTCTGCTTTGTCTAGCAGGTGGTCTGTAATTAAACACTTAACTCCCAACGAGACTAGGTGCTTAATCATCCTGCCCGGTTGGAAATTATTCTCACTCTCCCCTCACCACCCCAGCTCTCTTCATAAAAATAAAAAGGAAATCCTAGACAGTGCTTACGTGAGGGAAATGAAAAATGACATATGAAAGAGTTACTAAACAGATACGCTCGGCGATGCTTTTTCTTCCGGGACTCGACCCAGTCCATCGCCCTGACGAGGAGGCTACGGTGCATCAGGACGGCTGGCCTGAGGTGTTTGGCTGCCTGGAGCAAAGGCAAGATGGAACGGTTCTTTATATAAAGGGCTACTAGAGGACTGTCCTCTATTTGAAGGTAGCCTCTGTATAAGGGACTCTCCTGTCCAATTCCAGTTTAAAGATAAAGGATGATAAGGACTGTTGCCAATCGGTGGTAGCACCTGAAGAGGCAGGTATGCAGGTCACCTGGTTACAGTCAACCACACGATGGTGACATTTACTGTTTTTCTTTTCAAATTCTAGTAATATGGATTTCTAAGTTAGTATCTAGACAGATATATTAGCATATGCAAATACAGATGGGTGTCTGCTTTGGTGATGCATTTAATTTTCTTTGTTTGGTGATTCGTAAGTGACTGCCCTGCAAGACCAGCTTCACTTCTAAGATTCTGTAATGTCTGAAAAGTCCTTCACATTCTCTTAAAATACTGTAGAAACCTCCACAGAAACCTGGGTTCATCTTCTGGGTGACATGACTGTATTTTTCAGTCGCGACAGTGCTTGCTCCTTTCTGGCGATGTTCATGCTGACTTATTTTGGTGGCAAGTAACAAATTTTGCGCAATCAGTTCTGCAGGAATGACATCCGTGGCAAAGACTCCAGTGTTCCTAATTCACGCTTTGAACGATCTTGTCGATAAAGAACTTACATTCTGCCTCTCTCTCTCCTTCTCCCTCCCTCCTTCCCTCCCTTCCATTTTTCAGCTCCAACGGCAAATCTGTCACATGGGCCCAGAATGAGAAGAGCACCAGCCGGGGAGCCCATCTCTGGCAGAGGCTCTCTGTTCACATCAACAAGAAGGAGAACCCCAACCAGACAGCCGTGATCAAGCCTTTCTCAAAAAGCACAGACAGCAGCCGACAGGGCAGCAGTACTGCTCTCACCGCCACATTCCCCGAATCCAGTGCCAAAACCCTTTACAATGTATCTGAAGCCGAGGAGCACTACCCGGTTCAGTACCGAGCTCAGACTCCTTCCCCCGTCAGCACAGTGAGCCAGAGGACTGCCTCACTCAGCCGGACGGAAGACGATGCCCCAACCTTCCAGTCAGAGCAAGCCCAGCGAAGCAGCTCCTCCCAAGGCTCCCTGATGGAACAGATCAGCAGCGTGGTGACGCGCTTCACCGCCAACATCAGCGAACTGAACTCCATGATGCTTTCCACCACCACGCCGGGAGCCATGGTGGCTACTCCTCTGTGCTCTTCCTATCTGATCCCGAGAGAGATCCAGCTCCCCACAACCATGACGACCTTTGCAGAGATCCAGCCTCTCCCTGCCATCGAGGTCAACGGAGCTTCCCAACCAGCCCGGAAGCCCTCTTGCGGCAGCGTCAAAGAAGGCCCTCCAGCGGAAACACCACCAGCAGCAAAGCCAGACGTTGAGGAGTTGGTGGCTTTGACCCCTCCTTCCCCCTTCAGGGACTCTGTCGATTCCAGGAGTGCTTCGCCCAGTTCCCCGGCCTCCGAATCTGCCCTCTGTATCCCTTCATCACCAAAATATGACTCGCTTATGATAAGAGATTATGCTCAAAGTTCTTCTTCTTTGTGAATGTAGTTGAAGTTCTACCTTGGATCTCTGCAGCTTCAAGTCAATCAGGAGGGGAGGTCAGGCCTCCGGGTTCTCCAGTGTTTACAGACACAGTGAGAGTAATGGATCATCTTAGGGGGAAATGAAAATGACTGATGAATTACGCTCTTTTAAACACACACAAAATAAAACTTTTAGCAGATATTTGTGGCCTTAAAAACATGGGCTTTTAAATGGAGAAAGAAAACACCGCACCTATTTCTGAGGGCTTAAAAGAGTCTCTTATATCACTCACATACCAAGTGCTTTGCATTAGTGTATAACGAAGAACCGTTGATGGAGTGGGGGTGGGAAGAACAGACGTCAGTGTTAAGCAGCTGCCCAATGCACGTTTACTTGGATTCCTTAACCCGGAAGTGGACTTGGATCTTTTATCAAGACATGGAAGACCAAAACATTGAATGTACATTTTCTAATAGACTTCAGACCTGGGACCAAACAATCCAGTTCCTTTTTTTGTTCAAGTTGAAGGTGTTTGTTTGTTTTTTTAATGACGATCCCAACCCATAGTAACCTATTCTGTAACAACTAAACTTTTTTTGGCTAAAAATCATATTAGGTACATGGCGGAACTCCGCGTATTGATGAACGTAAGTTGACATGTTGCAGCCGAAGACTGCATTCACAGAGGGCTTTCCAACTGACTTCTCCTCCAACAGATTTGTTAAGGAGGAAAAGCAAAATCTCTTCAGTTAAGTATCCTATTTTTCCTTTGTTAACATCGGATTTGCCTCCAGAGCTACAGAAGTCCAGGATTGGATTTCCTGACTATTTCACCATGTTGCCAACCAATAATGGAGTAGCAAAAAACAAACAAAAAACAAACAAAAAAATAACAACAATAATAATATTTTCTGGAGTACTGTTTTGTAATTCCCTTATCAGGGCATATGTTGAAATGACTATTCTCTTTCTAGCAATGTTCTAGAGCTCTAGCATGGCAGTGTCCCCAAGTGAATTCCACATATTTCTATGGATGTTCTTGCATTCACATTGCCAGCTCGAGCCTTTGTCAGGACTGAAGGTCCTTAGTCATAAGAAAAGGGTCAGCGGTCTCTTTGAACAGTGTCCCTTTCCAATGAGGAGGCAGGCTTTCTGGTGCAGACGAGTATAAGGAAAGGCACAAGCTCTTTCCCAGTCCTTCCTTTGATGGGGAGCTGAGAGGGACGGCATCCTACCCATCCTCTGCCAATCAGGGGGGTTTGCAATACAAGAGGCTGTGTGCCTTCTCGCCGGGTTAATTCTCAAGGTCAGGTGGTCCATGAGACAACCATCAATTTCTCATAGGTTTTTTTAAACAGAACTTTCCTAGAGATGACTTTACCTTTCCCCCACAGAACTTTTTTAATATGCTGGAGCAGGCGATAGATCCCTGGTATGGCTTTCTCTCCCCGTTCCAGTCTTCTTGCCCACAGGCCGTGCAAACGATGAGTGAGGGCAGGGAATGCCGCAGGTGTTCTTCACTGTGTTACGGGCCATTTCTTATCATACAGACATTCGATGGAAGCTGCTTGCAATGACTTTAGTATGGGGATTGCTTTTTGTCAGTGTTTTGTGTGCTTTGCTTGTCCTGTGGAATGTGGGGGTGGATGTTCACCATGTGGCGTTCACCAAGTCAAGCCCAAGGGATTGTTTGGGTTGCCAGATGAGACGAACTCCATCCTGCACAAGACACCTGACCTGCTCTTCAGAGTGACCCAAGTGCTCATGATTCACGATCCATTCATAAAGCCTTCGTATAGAAATAAAGTAGAGCAGGTCCACCCTGTTGGACCCGTGCCTAACGTCGTGCACACTGCTCTTCCTGGATGTCTGCTCATTTGCCCTGACCACATAAGGGCTCGGGTTGTATGAAAAGGTTGTGCATTTTCAGCTACTTACATGTGAGGTCCACTTTGCAGGGAAAATGTTCAGTGATGGATTGGAGGCATACGCTCTTGATCCTCTGCCCTTTGGAGCTTGGTGTGCCCTCTGGCTTAGAGAAGGAATCCGTGGAGGAGGAGGCATCAATCAGGAAGATGTTGTCTGTTACCCCTGGACCTTCCAGCCCAGAGGACATGACTCTTTTCACTCAGAACCCCACCAATGCTGTCTTTATCCTCCCCATCTAGGAGGAGCCAGGAGCTTCAAATCAAGCAGTAGTCTTTAAGAGGCAGACTCTCCTCAGAGGGAGTGAAGTTAACAGTCTCAGATTAGCCAGCCTCCTTAAAGTTTCAGAAGGCCTCTGTATGTTGCTGAAGCAACAGTTCCTCCTGAGTGAGTCCCAGCTAGCATATGTCCCCGCCATGCCCAAGTCCCAGTCTGCTCTGGTCTTTCTTTGCCCTCCCACATAGCTGGACTTGCTTGTACTTCATCAGTCCTGTCTCTTTAGTAAGTGCAACTGCTTTAAATTAGCTCCCCTTGGAATCTTGAGCTGAGCTAGGCAGGGCAATGCACACCACATCAGGGACAGATTCAGAAGCACAACCCTCCGCTCCTTTATATATGTGTGATTCTGTGAATGGATGCAGTGTAAAGAGGCTCCATGCTGCTCGCTCACATCTGTCCTCCTGTTACTTCCATCATGCAGGAGGGCAGATTAGGGGTCTCACTGGATTTGTGGTTTGATCATGTTTCAGACATCTGTGGGACCGGAGCAGCTATTAAATGTGGCCCTTTGCTGGTGCCGCTATGCTCCAGGTTGCCATCAGATGTTTTTACTGATGGTTTTGTCAGCTCTGAGAGGACAAGCATTTCAGAAAGACAATAAATACATGCTACAAGTGGCATATTTCATGTATTAAGTTGTTGGACTGGTCAGTTCTAAAAAAATTGAGTTGATTGAAAAGGGACTCTGTTAATAAGGCAGAAATAGCTATTTAAAGACAGATCACGTTATTAATGAAGTATTTTATCTCTCTGTTTTGGAGATGGGAGACATTGGGTCTATTTGCTTTTACGGTGGCATGTCTAACTCTCAATTCCCAGACCGAGATGTGAACTGGAACACAGCGGTACCTCAGCTGCCCAACACAGTGCTAGACAGTGCTTCCCTACACATGGTGGGGACACGCTCCTCCCAAGAGGTACCATTTGCTTCCTTATCCTTTGATGAGACCACTCCTGATGACTCACACTCATGTTAACTGACTCCTGGCCAGCATTGCTTCTGAGTTCAGACAACACAATAATCCATGATTGCAGATTGAGTGTGGGCTGAATGTGCATTGTCACTGCAACCTGGGTTTGTTGTGTTGTTTCAACCCAGCTAGGATCACCATGAACATGAAAAGGGTGGTTTGTTAACAAGCCATGGCTCATTAGCTCAGCTGGGTTGAGTCAACATGATAGCCCATGATACAACTGCCACCCATGGTTCAATAGCAATCCACATTTCAATCCATACTCAGCCCATGAGTGTGCGCTAGCAAGTTGTCTGGACCTTGCGAACATGGCCTGGTCTACACTTGCAGCAACACAACCCCCTTTCCCCTCTGTTCCTGCTTAGAGGGGAAAGCAGGACTGCAGCCACTGGGCATGTCTCCGCTTGGGTGGACACACAAAATTCTCCATGAGGCGCTCACAGCTGTGCATAGCTGGGGACACCTTCGCATGTTCATCCAAACCCATGGAAAGCACAGGCACGGCCAGTGAATGCAGCCCTGCCCATTGCATGCTTTCAACCGAATGTGTGAGGAGCCAATGAGATGGTAAATTGGAGCATACCATGTCTGGAGGTGAAGAAGACAATTGTTGCATATACATCAGGAAGGGCTGGGCGTATGTGTGCAAAGAAAAAGCGACTGCACCACAAAGAACTGCCCTAGGCTGGCCTGCACTGCACACGCCTCTGTAGTCTAAAGTGGTACAGTCCATTCTGTCTCCTCACCAGGTGAGAACCAGTCTGGTTGATGCACTGATCCAGTAAGAAGCATGCAGGTGACTTGCATGGTTGCCCAAGCAGCCATGAAAGAAACCCTCCCCTTGTGGAGGCTGTACAATGAGGAGCAGTCAGAGCTGTATTTGAAGAAGCCCAAGCATCTGCTTCAGCTTTGGAGGCCTTGGTGTGGCCAGTCTGAAGCACCTCCGATGGATAGAGAGGGGAAAGGGGCTGTTTGAAAAAGGGATTGGACAAACCCATGGACAGTGGATGGGCTACTAAGCACAGGGGCTGCCTGCTGCCTTCAGGTTTGTTGGCAACGTATCTCTAAATTGCCTGTCTCTGAGAAAGTGTGCTTGTGTTCAGGCTGGCCACTTTGGAAACTGAGACTGGACTATATCCATCCAGCAGGTCTATGTTTATTTTCTTATGCCCCCTGTGAGATAAGATACCAGGGATGGGATTGCAATCCTTGTAATTGATGTGCAAAGCAGGAGAAACGAGAATACAAGATGCTTTGAAAGCAGGAGAAATATGACTCATTTACGTCTGCTTGAAAGGGAATGGGCTGGCATCTTGGTCCACTTTGAACATGGATCATAATGCAAACACCATTTTGCAGAGAGTAAAAGAATAACCATGGAGGGGGTGAGAAAAACAACGGCCATTGTCTGCCTAGAGGAAATGTGGATACTGTTTCAGCTAAGCTCGAGCTTTAGCCTTGTGGCTTTCTTTCTTTCGCACTGCAGCACCAGATTCTAATGAAGCAAACACTTTCAAAGCGATACAGAGGACATCCTAAAACAACAAAGACACAATGAGATACCAAACCATAAAAGCTTTATTTGGTTTATTTGCAGTTCCTAAAATGTTAGGGCAATATGTGGGTGACCCTCTAACTCTGATTGGCAGCTCCTACAACTTTGTGGATTTCCTCTCTCATGACACTTTGAAAAGTGCAGCTTGAAATGAGTGCATGTGTGAATAGAAAGCAAATGATTTGGATGGGTTTGAATAAGTACAAAAGAAGATCCCCTTGATGGAAACCTCAAACGCACCCTGCCAAGTGCTCACCCTTTCATGCATGCAGCTGTCCTTGCGC